GAAAGAAAAAATATAGTTATGAAGAAAGTGTTGAACAGAAAAATCCTGTCTTACGAACTTTGATTCCATCAAAATGCTGCGAATTAATTGAACTAATTAAAAGTTACGAATAAAATATTGCGGCAATGCAACGTTGATGTTCGACGAGTCGAAGAATTTAGAATTTTCACTCGAGAGGAACGATCAAAGCAGCCTAAATAAACTCGCAGAGAAACTTCGGAAAATTCGGAAATTTGTCTGAAATTTGTCGGAAAGAAGAAGAAGAAGAAGAAGAAGAAAAAAAAGAGAAGGAACCACACGCATAAATATTGAGTTTACTTGGCATGAAAATCTCAAACTCTGTGTCCCGCGACTCCTCCACCGTTGGGGATGCTTTTCCTTTCCTGTTCGTTCTCTCGCGCCATCCCCCCGTTCCGAATAAAGTTTCGCCTTTTCTTCGTAAAGTACGTCCCACAACAGAGCCGCACGTCCAAATAGAATACCCGGCAGGCTGCCGGCAAGTAAATACGCGAACGAAGTATATTCAATTTGCAAATCCATGAATACCTGTCGCGCCGCGGACTTTCCAAAGTGGCAATGAAGGAATTATCGCGGGGGAAAACGACTTTTCAACCACATCACAAATGTTCTTTGCCAGCAACTTGGTCATTCGAATCGGCGTTGACTTCGACGTTTTAACTCGTACACAAGTATAATATAAGTGGATCTTTTAATCAAAACATTATTAAATCTATGTATGAGATTCTGGTTCACAGATCATCCAACAGTCACAAAGTTTCATCCGAAATCAAGGTAAATAATCGGTATTGATTTTTTACAACCCGCCATTTCCGAGGAGCTCCGACTTTCCGAAATTTTTCCAACGCCTCTTTTCTTTTTTTGATATATTTCCTGACGTTTTCTGTGCCCGTTGGATTCAATCTTGCGGTATGAAAAAAGTTTTTACACAAGCCGGAATAAACGATAGTGAATGGTATAGTGTGTGCAGCGAATACAATCGATGGAATAAAATCTCGACTAAGCTTCGAAACTGTTCAATCAAACTTTATCTTTTTGAAAAACGATTTAATATCCACCGGTATTTTATCATTTGGTGGAAGTTTATAACAAAGAATCCTTCATCGGTTCAACGAAGTGTATAAATTAAAAAAAAATAAAAATAAATTGTACGTTGCTAAATGAATCGTGTATTATCATATATATTATAATTATTCAATTTATTATAACACATACAGAACGATTGTATTCGTCTAATCAACATCAATATTAACTCTCGAACGATTTTCACTATTGAAACGATACATTGACGATAAACCATTTGATAATTTCGAAGTAGTTTCTTAAACTGCGCGTGAAAGAGTTTTCAATCAACGAAGAGATTTTTGCTAATGGCAATAAAATCGGCGACAATTCTCCAACGAAACCTCTAATGTTTTGTCTAAATACGGAGTAATTATTTACGAGTACCGCAATGCGTGGGCGGCTCGATTCTATACCGACTGAAATGTCGATGGTTTACCGGTAGATGTAGGTCACCGCAATAATTTCTGACATGTTTCGCATGTTGTGCCGATAATAACGTATTGTCCGATGCGAAATGGATCGGTTGGTAAACGACAAATCGACGCGCATAAACGTAATAGATTATTAGTGTCCAACGATTGTCAGCAACTCTATCATTTGCTACCAATATTATCGTAAATATACCAAAACCGTATCATCGGAAAATTACCACCTCGAAAATACTATATTCATTTGCGTATTAAACAGCGGCTAGAACTGTTACGAGCACGCGACTCCTTTTTAAAGCGTTATTAAATATTACGAAGATTCGATACATTAGAGATTTAATTTCTAGTTTAATCTACTAGTTTCGTCAAGTTCGAACTCGTTTTATACGAGTTATTTTAAACGGCAGACTGAAATTTAATGACAAGTGACAGAGAAGAGTACAGTCTTTTTTTCTATTCTTTTTAAGACGTTTCGAGTTTCGAAAGACATTGTCTAACAAAAGATACAATGACACACGTCATTACCGGCTGTTTTTGTCTAACTTTCAATCAAAAATACATTTCGAGACGCAGTTACTTTCCATTTCTAAATACTGCAACCTAATCTGACACACATATCTGTGAGATAACACTGCGTAATATTTGACAAATTCACAGAAAATTACGACGTCGCCATTCTCGCGTAGATGATAAGCTACGAACGAACAAATTTCCATGAAATCGTTGGCCTAGACGAGGAAAGAATCATTACGCATTGGCAAATGCGTCGCCGTTGCAAGATTCTCATGGCGACATCGTGCAATCTCGTTTTTCTTTTCGTAAGATCCCCATTGTCCCCGAGGAGACTGTGCGTCGTCGTTCCACGGAAAAATAAATAGAGTCAGAACCGTCGCAGGACGACCGGGGCCCATTCTTACACGAAGGACTCGCCTATTTGTCCCGAATGAAACGAAAACACACGCCAAGAAAAAAAGTTGCTCGTTATATATACCGGGGGGCACACACGTGTCTTCTCATGCGATGTCTCAGCCAGCCCGAACTCAGTGACTCATAACAATTTTCTCGACCCGCGTATTATTATAATTTTGCTCTTGATGCCACCGAGCAGAAACTAAACGACGAAACAACAAGCAACGTTGAAGACGTCCTCGACTTTGTCGAATTCAAAAATATACACGTGATTTGACGACAAGGCAGTGTACAAAGCAGATACATACTGAGAAACGTTGAATGAATATCACGAGGAAACGTGGAAATATTCGCGGAAAATTATCGGTACAAGCGAAACAAGTATCGGGCAAATTATCTCTGGCGCGGAACATTTTTCGCGAATATCGAACACGGACAAGAGCGGAATGGCAGGTACAACCAATGATACCGGGGGAAAATCTGGCACGTTTTGTTCATGTTTCATGGAACACGATAAAGAATCGTTCGCTAAATTCGCACCGCTATCGGACAATAACGCTACTTTACTGCAACACGTGCAGTTCTCGATGGAATCAAATTCTCCGGCCGATCTCTTCGACGTACTTACATACGTACTCGAGATGTGATTCCATTCGCCGCTTCCAATACCAGCAGGGTAGATAATAAGACACTAACAAAACGAAACGTTACGTTACGTCGAGAGCGTACAACGAAAGCGAATGAACTTCTCGATGGCATCTTCTTTTTCCTTTTTTTTTTTTTTCAATCCGAATACGTGGTACCTACACGCGGCGAAATAAATCGCGAAAATTATAAAAAGACGCGAAGGCTCAATTTCTCCCCTTCCTTCCCTTCAAAAAAAATTTCGTAAAACTGCCGTGTTTGCCCGGTGTTTTGAAAATTTTCACGCGAGACTTTTTTTGCAAACAAAAACCGTTAATCTCTGCCCTCTCGTGTCAGCGGGTTATATTTCCGTTTGAAAAAAATCGGAGAGGGAGGAACGTCGCGACGTGCTGAAAGTCTCGCGGCTGCTGAAAAAACGCGATAGAGAAAATATGATTTTGATTTGAAATTGAGTTTCTGATTCGTGAAAGCCGCATCTTTGTCACCAAGTTATTGACACGTGATCATAAACTTCTCCAGCAATAAACCAACGTTTTCGATACCGATTACTTTCAATTCTAATGTTCGAACAGTTTGATCCTTTGCCATGGATTTTAAAACAATTTAATTCTTCGCCTTGGAAACTTTCTAACAATCTTCGGTCGGATTTAACTGTTTAACGTCGTATTACGTCAGGAAATATCGTCGAACTATTAAATTTCTGTTTGGAACAATTGAAATCAAAGTTTGGACACGAATCGTGTTTGATTACAAATACGTCTGCGTTTTAAGATTAGTTTATAAACTGTGAATCACGTGAGATCGGCACACAGGCTGTTAACGTTGATAAACGTTAATATCTAAGTTACATTTGCGGACAAAAGTTACTAAATGTTCACTGTCTCTACAAGAAAGTATCACTTTTATTTATTGAATTGTCATTCAGCGGCACGTACTCTCTGTAAACGTTCGTAAACATACATCGAGATATTTACAAGTAGTCGATGCCAAAAAGTGAAAATGTCTGATAGATCGCGATGCAAAGAAAAAAAAAAAAAAAGAAAAAATAGCGGCACGCGATTGAAGCAACGGGAGCAAGCGAGAAGAAGAAAAGAAACGGATCAACGCACGCCTTTTTCGTGGTGTCTCGATTTTTCTAGTCCTCCAGCCAGAAAAAGAAAAAAAAAAAAAAAAAGAAGATCGTTCCTCGCACGACAGATGGTGCTGACAGAACGAATGCGTCAAAACATGTCCGACCGAAAAGAATTTCGGAGGCAGGTTCGAACACGTTTTCATCGATGCGTGTCGCGACCTCGATATCGTTCCCCAATGTGAAAAGACATCGGCGGATTTCAAATAGCGATTCATTTGGGCCCTCGGCTCGACGAAAACGATATCAAAAGAACGTGCCGGGTCTAACGAAACAAAACGGTGGCGAGCCCTCTCCCGTTCATTTATAGACCACAGAATGACAAGAGAGAAACGAACTGTCGCGTGAAACGAGGCGCGTTTAGCCAGCTCGACTAAAGCTGTCGATGTCATTGTATCCGGACCACACGGGAAACAGTTTTCGCCGGCCGAAAGAAATAACGCACGCGCGCGCGCGCGCGAGAGAGAGAGAGAGAGAGAGAGAGAGAGAGAAAGAGAGAGCTCGCAGATAATACATATTTCCGTCAGCAGCGGTGTACAAAACGAAAGCTTTGTTATCGAAATATCACTCTCTGTGAACGTGATCGAAAAAGCCCAACGTGACCACGTGGTCTATAATAAAAAAAGAAAAAAAGAAAATTGCCAACAGAGAAAGAGAGACGATCAATGAAATCGAATTTCGTACACCGCACGATGGTGTATATATTTCGAACAAGTGCGATTCGCGTATTGAGAGATCATCTTCTCCCGTTTGTCTCAGCTTCGTGCTACGAAGGTAAAAGGAGAAAAGAAAGAGAAGATATTTACATGATCGACGTGTGCTGCGGCCTGTCGGCGTCACCGGCATTGTTCGTGCCCCCTGTTAATCCTTGCACCTGTACGTTGGTCGCGATGCTAGTCCTTGCCGGATGTCTGGCACTATCCTTCAGTATTTTTTTCGCGCTGAGCGGCGTGGCTGTCACGCACATTGTCTTGCGCGGTATCACGATCACCTTGGTAGCACGCACTTTGAGGAGCGTCGTGGTCGTCGCGTGCACAAAAACAACAAACGTCGGTCGTCACGATCGGTCGTGACGAGAGCAGCGGGGGGCAGCAGCGAGTTATCGGGCTCGGGCGCGTGAACGTGGATCGCGAGACAAAGCGAGAGAGGACAACAAAGTGTTGCCCGGGGCATACGTGAAAACTTTCTTCGAAGAAACAATCTTCGACAAGGTGAATTTATCCGAGGCCGATCGCGTGGTGGTTTGTATGCACTGGGTGCGAGATGTGGCGAGAGAATCGACTCGATGTGACCGGTGGAGGGGCGAACGCGTCGATTCCTTCGCGGGATGAGAACTCTGTCAACGTGAAGACGAACGGTGCACGCCGGTTGGGGCGGTGCGTATGCTTCGCGTTCGTTCCGCGCGAGAGATAAGCCCCGCAGCAAAGCACACGGGTGTAAATAAAACAACTCGCGTCTCGTTCGTTCACAGATCCCACCTCATGGCGTACCGCGGGCCTACTGAGTGACTGACTGACTGAGTGACTGCCGCGAGCTTCGAGCCACGAGCCACCCTGCGTGGGTGCACACGCGGTCTCACTGCATGGAAAGGCAACGAGCGCGCCGATTGGCCCGCTCCAGAGGCTGGTCCTCGTGGGGGGCAAGCGCCGGCCAATCAGAACGCGCGAGTCACCACCGTACCACCGAGCAAACTCTGCTCGACGATTTTCTAGCACTCTATCGCGAGCCGTTTCGCGGTGCGTTCTGTCTTCTAGCTGTTTCTCTACCTCTCTGCCTGCCTTTCGCGAAACGTCCTTCTGTTTTTCGCGTCGTGCACGATCGTCTCGATCTTCGTTTCTTTCTTTTTTTCTCTCTCGATCCACGGAAGTTTCTCAAGTAGCTTCGGATTCGTGTGCAAGTGACGGAAGTTTTAATGGAATTGTTAGTCGCGCAACACCGCGGGAGTGAACCAAGTGCTACGGATCCTACGGGCTGTGCTTCGGAAACGGAAGTCTGTGACTCAAACCGGGGAAAAGTGATGTGCGCGGACAAGTGTGAAACGATTTCTCTCTCTCTCTCTCTCTCTCTCTCTCTCTCTCTTTTCTTTTTTTTCCGGCGTTCGAAGTTCAAAGCGCTTGGCTATGCGATGGCAACACGATTTTCCAGATGTTCTTCCAACGCCTTTTCTAGTGGCTCCGAAAAATAATCTTTTTTTTTCTTTTTTGGCGCGATTATCATCGCGCTCTCGTCGAATCTGACAACTTTGTCATCCTGCGTATCGTGTTTCACAAAAGGATCGAGTAACTTTGTTTGTTGTTCCTTCCAAACAAAGATCCATATAGGAGTGCTACAAAAAAAGCGCACGCTCGATAGTAATCGCAATTCGTCTCCTGAGACCTGGCGCTTGGCTCTTTCTCGTTCCTCCCTGCGTGTCGCGTGTCGCTTGATGAAAATTAACGAGCGTCTATCACGCATCGTCGCGAAACCGGACACTTGGAATCCACTAAACTTTGCCATTGCTACCCATCTTCCCGTTAAATTACGATACAAATTGCCCGCCGCGAGACTGATCGTTTCCATCGTTTAACCTCTTGCGTCGAGAATTTTTTCTCCCAAGTTGCAACATTTCCTCAGTATGTATATTCAAGTGTAAAGTTCTTGCGCTTCTTGGTCATTTCTATCCAACGATATACCGACGAGTTCAAAAGAGAAACAGAAAACGACGAATTATTGTATACGGTTCGGTCGCTCGTTACGGTCCGCGAACCAGTTGCCAGCGCGAGGGGTTAATAAATTAAATTTACTCTTGTCGTTTCCATCTTCCTTTCTACGCGACGGAATGAAAGAGAAATAGAGCAATTTGTATATGTTATATATTACTGCTGATTGAAGCAAGTTTGTCAAGGTTTTACGTGCGGGTTGTATAAACTAGAAGCAAACGAAAAGAATGCCACGAAGTTACAAAACTCTATATATATACATATATGTATAAAAATCGAAATGATATTTTCGATTTAATTTATAGCCGATGAAATGCAACCGTTTCGAAGAATGTTAATTTGTTGGCGTGCGTTACGTGCTTTTGGAAATCAGTTTTGCCACAATTTCACACGTTCACGACGAAGACCCTAAAACGAGTTCACTCGTCCCATTTCTAACTCTGCAATCGTATTTCATCGTATTAAGCCGAACGAAACGTGTTCATATAGCATATAGTGATTTCGGTTTCAAGGTCGCACGAGCAAACGAGCTACAAGAAATGTCGAAAGTGCAATTTTTCCAAAGTGTCGCGCAGGTACATATACAGGGTCCCATCTGAGAAAGCGAATTTAGAGACTGGAGGGGTGGTAAACCTGTAAACGTGAAGATTTTCTCGGTTTCGAGTGTGGCCGGCCTCGTTGGGGGGTGACCAGGTGCGTCGGCTTCTGAATGGCCGTCGACTAGCGTGCATCTAAGTGTTTTTCACGAGCCAGCAGTTTTACAACGGCCTTCTTTCATGCCCTTTTATTAACTGGAAGATTCGTCGACCTACGTGACCGGCTCGGGTTTCACCCGGATTTGTATTTCGGGACACTGAGGGATAGAGCAGCTACTAGATCGGTTTTTCCACGGCTACGGAATTAACAAGATCATCGACGGCGATATATATCGTGAAAAATCGTAGCCCGGAATCGAAGTGCCGGGGGGGGGGGGGGGGGGGGACGAGTACCATTCGCAGAGTTGTCCAACCAGTCGAAATTATTCAAGTATTTGAAATTCAAATATACGTATGACACCCGTATTTTTGGAAAGAGGAGGAGGGAGAGCTGGGCTTTTCGTTCTCCTTTTTCCTCTCTCTTTTTTTTCGAAATCGAACCTAGCACTCGATTATCTGTATAATACAATCGTCGTTTGATTTACATGGAATATATATATATATATATATATATATATATATATATATATATATATTTTTTTT